TGTGTGTGTGTGTGTGTGTGTGTGTGCGCACGCGTGTCATACATTATGTTAGCTGGAGTCATTAGATGAAACAAACAATCAAAAGCCAGACCATAGCCATTGATTTTTTACTTTTGTGTGTGTATTGGAGTGTGTGTGTGGGTAGTGGAGGTCTACACGTGCTCTGAGGTGACTCAGTCAACATTGTTAGCATTTAGATAACTCCTCCACATGGCATATTGAACAAAGATTTAGACAAAGTCAAATCATTTTTCTCTCACACAGGAATCACTTCTGGGGATCGCTGATCATCTTCAGAACTGTTCAAACTTATTTTTTTATCCCCAGAGTCATTGCAGTGGATATCTGAGAAATCAGTGGCTGATTGCATGAAAAAACTCATAAAAATATGGATTGGACAAAAATTTTCAAGGCATGCTTGTATTTTTTATTTAGTAAGTCCTTTAAGTCAATTAAATATGTTTTCTTCTACAAGGAACTTAGAAGAAAGGAACCATGTGATGAGCCATTTAAAGTGCAGGTTGTAATTTCCTTGAATTATTCTTGATGGTTTCTTATTAGATGCTGTGTTTCCTGACTCAGAGTAATAACATACTTTTTTCTACTTTAACTCAATAAATTTTATAATAATATCAGGATTAAGAATATCTGCAAAGCTTTAGCATATGTACATTTTTATTTGATTAGTCGAGTGATATTCTATATTTGTCTTATTATCAATAAATCCCATGACAAGACCAAAACCAACAACTGATCACACAGCCTGGTATCATCAAATGGCTTATGAATAAACATGGCAATGGCTTATGTCATTTTGCATGTTATCACAATGCATTTTTGGTCGTTTCATGGCATTTGGTCTCTACTGACTTTGCGCAGATATTGCGCAGACGTGGCGTGTCATTTTATGCGCAAATGTCATACATGTGATGCTGTATGAAGAGCAACAAAGTCATCGTAGGGAGGTTTGGTCATAGTGGTCAAACAAACACAGGACTTTCACCCAGGAGACTCCTGTTTTTGTCTCAAGTGAAACCAAAACTTTTACTACAGAACACTTATTTTAACTTATGTAACGTATTTAACTTATGTCATGTTACTTGACTTATGTACAGTATGTAATGTAAAGTAAACCTAAGCAAGTAGTTTTGGTGCATAAACCTAACCAAAATTGTAACCATGCTAACATAGGCCCCATGACTTCATCCTTTTATGCATGCCCAAAACTCATGAAGTGAGCCATTTTTAATGGCATTAAATGATATAGAAAATGTGTAGCCATGACATGTGAATGTCAGTTCGCCACCCTAGTAAAAAAAAAAAAATCACAAATGTAATCAGGTTAGTGTTGTAGTACTCGAGACCGGTCTTAAGACCACTTTTTGATGGCATTTGTACTCGGACTTGTCTCGGTCATTGAGGACTTGGGATTTTATTTCAAGAACAGTCAAGACCATAACTTTGGGAATATCAAATTGCTTTTGTATTGTCTGATTTATTTGTTAACATCCTAACTTTGATTGGATGTAAAACGTATTGCTTCAAATGCAACCAATAACCCTAATTTAAAATGTGTTGTTACTGTTAATGACTGTCACCGCTCCCCGTGATGGTAAGCATGGAAAAGGAGTGTTGAATAAAGATGCTTATGTTGATTTCAGCTCTTAGTGTTGTGGAATGTGGATTTTTCAGATCAATCTGAGAAGTACCTATGATCTCGTTCCACATTTTATTGTGTGTCATGTAATGTGGGGAACTGGTCTTGGTCTTGACTCAGCATCAGAGAAAATATCAGGTTTCTATCAAGGAAACTATTGACTAAATGGACTGAACAGACAAATCTGACCCACCAGACTGAACACCAAGGGGACCATATGTAGTGGCTGATCAGGCCATTCTAGAAACAAGCAACAGTTCACCAAAGCAGGTTAACAAAGCATGGACAAATTAATAAAGTCTAAAGAAACACAATCAAAAATATGTAATTTATTTGTTTGCTGATGTATGTGCAATGTGAATTCAGTGCGGATAAGGTCGACCAACTAAATGAGGAGTAAATTAACTATTAAATGTAAACCATAAAGCGGTTAGGGCAGGAGGTTTACCGAGATTTAAATCAGTTGTGTGGCAGCAGGTGCAGCCATCACAAATCAGCAGCTCAATCACACTTTCACAAAATAGGTAAGAAAAAAGACTGAGATTGAACTAAGCAAGACAGCACATTTTATAAAATCAGAATGTATTGTGTATTTACCAAAGAAGAAACACTGATCCTAATTAACGGCATCTCAGCAGCAGGGGCTCCGTGAATGTAATCCAATAAAGTAAAGTATAAAACACAATATGAATACAAATGATTTTAACAGCTGGATCACAGTCTCGGCCTAAAAGCTTGTACAGGAGAGAAGAGTGACTCTACTAACGGCCATTTGAACTATCCCATAAGCTTCCAGATTGATGGTGAAAGTGAGGAAGTGGAGGAGCTGAAGCGATGGACCGAGACTGGAAACAGATCAAAGTTGTCTCCCTCTCTCTGTTGCTCTGCGACCTTTTCAGATTTATCATCCCCTAATCGACCATGAAGCCATCAACACCAGCCAATCCTTCAGTTATCGCACCACAGGTAGGCTAAATGAAAACAAAACGTGAGATTCTGGTGTGCAGAGAGAGACTGGTAGTGTTTTAGACAAATGTTGGGCTCTGCCTTCCTACAATCCAAAGTCATGCCCAAGGATTTATTCTGCTATTGTACAGCTAGAGATTAAAGATGAGAAAACATCTACAGTTTGAGAGCTCAAATAAATTGAAAACCTCCTAAACTGTTTGAACTCCAGGATTTATGCTGCTCATACTTCCTGCGATTGGTCTAGTTTTGGTACCAGAACAACAGAAACATGTAAAACTGCATGAGCAATGAATTTTATAGCTATGTTTAGTGGATGTTGAACAAAAAGCAATCAAATTAACCTGAAAATAATAATAATAATAAATGATTTTAAAGCCAGATCAGTCTCATAATCATGTCTCATCTAAAGCCTGTATCAGGGGAAGAGAAAGCCTTTAATACAGTCATCATTACTCTATCAATACGTCTCCAGATTAGTGGCACAAATCAGAAAGTGGAAGAACTGACACAATCGGCTGAGACTGGAAACAGGTCAAGTGCATTTTATTTATATAGCCCAAAATCGAAATTCAATTTAGCTGAGATCAAAAACCAGAGCTTAAATGACTCAATACACATTACTGAACTTTGCCCTGGTTTTATGTCTCACAGCTAGTTATCTGAGCTCATATACTGTAAGACCTGGAATATCACAACACTGAATCTGAGAGCATCATCATTTCAGTCATGAAGCTTCAATCAAGTGTCAATGAAGTGCACTTCAGTGGTAAGACAGGGGGAGGTAAACTGATGCAGATTGTAGGTGTGTGGGTGTATCTACAGATTTTTAGCATTTAAACAATATGGACTAATATGTCCATATTGTTATATGCAATATTCCAAATCAAATTGTTACATACAGCTTTGGAAGATAAAAGACAGAGATCTTGTCTTGTTTCTGTCTCTCATTACTTAGCTATAAAGGATCGCAGACCGACAGTATTGGAATTAATAAAGCGATTTGTGCAGTTTGCTGATTTCACCTTTTATGATTGGCAAGCACCACTTTCTGCATGACAGTTTATAAGGAGCCTGGTTTGGCTGTAAAAAGGCATAAAGAGCCTTTTCATTGGCTGAGAATAACTAAGTGGGAGATCACTTATGTTCTAAGGCCACAGTGTTTTGTGTTACTTTGAAATAATTTTGAAAGGTGGCATGATGTTCATTATGCACAATGGGTTTGGTCTCCAATCCCTGGGAAACTATTTCTAATAACACGATGAGATCTTAACTTGGACAAAAGTTTACCTCTGAAATGGCCATTTTTATCCAAATATCAGTGCTTGTCCTGCAGTAATAGGTTGGTTTCATCCATTGTGTCAAAATTGGGACTATGTTCTACATGTGTTGAAATGTGGCTGCATAATGAACCACAAGATGGCGCTGTTTGCTACATGATGTGTGGATTCACAACGTCTGTAAACTCCCGCTCACTAATTTATTTAAATCATGAGTAAAATTAATTGTATTCAGTCAAAGGCTTCTATAGGCTGCAAATTAACAGCAACATGAATGAAGGGCAGGAAAGATAAGTGGTCAAAGCTGATTCATTGGGCCGAGTATTCAAATCATTAAAAGATTTAATGAGCTAAGACTTAATTAAAAGTGCATAGGTTTGCAAAAGAGGCACTTCACTAAACCCTGACAAGCCAGGAGAAATCCCTTAATGACATTTGCACCAAATCATCATAACCTAAGGGAAGCCTACAATTTTATGGGATCAAGTACAGCAAAAGATGATCTTATTTTGCAAATGTGGCAAATTACATCAACAAACTCCCCCATAGTGTAATTCCCGAACAAAAGACCAGACCCTATTAGAAATCCTCATAGTTATCGTCAATATAAACTGGCCTCCATCAGCATCCATTCAGCACAGGCGATCACCAAGCAGCACTTTTGTTTACCGGTGGTAAGAAAACTCATTTTAAAAGTTCACTCATATATATGAGTAGGCTATAACTCGCGTCATTATGAATGGAGTTTGGTTTGCAAATTGAAAACAGAAAATCTGCCTGACATTTTTTGGGACATTCTTAGAACTTTACTCACCATTAAAGTGATGCAAACAAAGCTACCAGTGTAGACTGAGAGATGCTGAATTATGGCGAGCTACCGCTTTCGTACCTTATCCGAGCCAAATGACGCCCCATGCGTGCTCAGATCCCCACAGTCTGCCAGCTTGCTGCTGTCTGGCTTATCTGCGCTGCTGCTGATGTTGCTGGATGCTGCACGGTGGCGCAGTCCACATCCAATTGAAGATTTGAGGATGGAAACGTGAGGACAACGGGTCTGTTGGAAGCGAGTAGTCAGAATGGAATAACCCAGAAGAAGCCCAGTATACACTCAGGGTGTTTTTTTGATCCGTACTTTAACCCTACTGAGAAAACCCTGCTGCCTGTCATTCAGCGGACCGTGAAGTCGCTCTTAATAGGATTTTATTGAAGCGCGTCTCTCCGGATCAGGTGCGCCGGCATTTCCTTAACTTACCTGGGATGATGAGTTCTGCTTATTTTTCACCGAGCAGAAGCGCGCAGGTGTGACTGTGGATTTAAATTCCAAAGTTTGGATCTTCTCTTTCCGGGATTTTCAGTTGTTGCTTGGAGATGTACGCACCTTGTTTAACACATCAGTTCATTCTGGATGGATGTTGTCGATGTTATCACGGCTGTTCTGGCAGATGATCGTGTGAATATATTCACACCGTGGATACCTGCCGTCCTGTGTGTTCGCGCGGTCGGGGTCTCGTTCACATGAAAATCACCCCGTGGTGCTTTCTTGAGGAAAGTTTGTGACTGGGACGCGGTGGACGATGAAGGCAGCGCATTATTTTTGGCAACCCTGCGGACACAGAGCTCAGTGACGGCTCCCCGCCCCTGGTTTTAATATAATTTATAATTTGTGGATGGATTTGTGAATAGGTGTGTCTTGGGTTTAGCTGGACAATATGTATCCAAACTATGGAGTCCTGCTCAGGCTGGAGGGGAGAGCAGCGGAGATCCCAACCCCTTCCTGGGACCACAGGTGTTTCTTGTAAACAGGTAAGATACGTGAGTGGAATTTTGGTGACGGCTCTCCAATTATGGACTCGTTACCGAGACAAATTTAAAGAGATCACTACTATTGGAAAATCCTAATCATTTTTGAAAGGCGATGTTTCACTAAATGGCAAGACGAGCCCACGTGTTGTTTCCCAGTGTATTCCTTACGGCGATTCAAACGCCATTCAGGAATCCTGCAGTTTAATGCTGCATTGCTTATCGAACATGAGAATGTCTTTAGTCACATTGAATTAGGTAGATGTCTTTACTAAAAGGCGAACACGTGTTTAATTGCCAAAACTGTCAATGGCACGTGTCGTCAAAAAGTTATATTATAAAAAGTGTTGGTGCTTGTTTGATCACTGCATCTAAGTCCTTAAACATGCCTCGCTGACTTAAACTACGACTGAGGATAAAAGATATTCAAATTTGATGTAATTAATAACAAAATAGGGGATCAGAAACAGCGGATACGACACAGTAGTCCTATTAACATGAGATATAGTTTTTATTGTAACATTTAAACCAATACCATCGATTTGGAGGTGCATGCATATTAATGCAATAACTTATTTTGTTACAGATAAGAGATCCTGTGTACGTTTAGCCTCGAAAAATGCATGTGGGGTATTTTTGTGCATTCATCTGACTTGAATGCTCATAAGAAAAAGATAAATATCCACTGTGGGGAAATAGCGGTTTTTTTTTGTTGTTGTTTTTTTTTAAGATAAGATGCTGACATAGCAGTGTCAGTTAGACAGTTAGAGTCAATATGGACTATAAAAGGATGGCCATAACCTTAGGGTGCTTTTGTGTTTTCTATTAGTAGTCTATAGCTTTCACTTTCAAATGTATCAATAATAAAAATTTTTTGACTCAGTTTTAAAAATCCTGATTAATTCGAGACTTATTGGTAACTTGTAACTTAATTCATGACTACATTTCTATTTCTTTTAGTGACTCCAGATCCCAAAATGCCGAGCTGCGGATAGAGAGACTGCCTTGTGGGTCAAGCTGACCTGTGTCTTACCTCCCTGCACATCCTCTGCTCATCATTTCCTAATTCCTTGTCCTTTTCCTTTTCTCTTTTTACTTTGTATCCCCCCTTTATCCTCCCTTTACTCTTTCTCCTCTCATCTCTCTTTTCACTTTATCCCCTTTTTTAAATCCCGTCTTTTCCCCATCCTTCTTCCCTCTCCCCTGCATCACTATCTACCTCTTACCGTCTTCACCTACCTCTCCTCTTTTAGTTGTTGTATCTCCCACCTGTCCTCTCTCCCTCCCTTGTTCTCCTCTCCCCCCTCCCAAATCCACCACGTCCTCCTCTTCCTCCCCCCACAGCACACATGCAGGCCAAGAAGCGGTACCTGCTTGTGTCTGTGGGGGCCGGTCTTCTCTTCCTCGTTTACCTGTGGGGTCTGCAAATCGGGGAGTTCCAGCAGCAGCCGTACCAATATCACCAGTTCCCTCAGTACCCCCAGTACCATCAGTACTACCAGCAGGAATACCAATACTACCACCAGAGCCAGGAGGTGCACCAGCCCCTGCCTCAGAGAAGCCCATCTAGACCTCCCAGGCACTGGCCGGAGTCATCCCACCTGCTGGAGCCGTACCTGGAGGGGGGAGAGCAAGAGGTATCATTTGAAAGGAACACAAATTATGGAGATTTTTGTCATCTGCTTCATTATCTGAAAACAAAAAGGAAACCTAGTGGCTCATTTAAGTATTCTGATTACCACAATATAAGAATACTCTATTGCAAGTAAGAAGCAGGTTCAACAGAGTACACATTGCTTTGCTTCACAATTGCTTCGATGGAAAAGCAGTTTTAAACTATTGTCTAAAACGTACAGTATTTGAATGATTTTCTTTACTGACAGCATAAAATAACTAGGACTCTCCCACAGATATAAAGCATGTAGGACTTTTTCCTTGATGTTTTGTAGAAAGCCTTGAAATTGATTTAATTTTATTTATGTGTTAACTGAGAGTTTATCATGCAGGATTTATATAATGGAACCATGTACTGTACATATAAACATGTGAATTAGACACGGTGGTGCAATAGGTATCACTTTGCTGAATTTTGGGTTGTCCTAACGGTTTGTTTCTGTGTGTGCAGGAGGACAGCCCTCAGCTCCATCACCAGCACACCTCACCTCGTGAACGACGTGCAATCCGGGACAACATCTACAAGAACAAGCGCTGCCGTATGGAAACCTGCTTTGACTTTGCTCGCTGCCAGTCTGGTTTCAGGGTTTACATCTACCCTCCGCTGAGAGGGGACGAGATCTCCCAGACCTATCAAAAGATCCTGTCGTCCATCGAGGAGTCTCGCTTCCACACCACGGACCCATCGAGGGCCTGTCTGTTCATTCTGGCTGTGGACACGTTGGACAGAGACCAGCTCTCGGCTCAGTACGTCCAGAACGTCAGGCTCCGCATCCAGAGCCTGCCAACGTGGAATGATGGCAGGAATCACCTCATATTCAACCTCTACTCCGGCACCTGGCCGGACTACACAGAGGATCTGGGCTTTGAGGTGGGCCAGGCCATACTGGCCAGGGCTAGCGCAGACGTGGTCAACTTCCGGCCCAACTTTGATATCTCCATCCCTCTATTCTCCAAGGATCACCCGCTAAAAGGAGGGGGCATAGGTTATCTGACATTCAATGATGCACCGCCTTCCAGGAAGTACCTACTGGTTTTCAAAGGGAAACGATACCTAACTGGTATAGGTTCTGAGACAAGGAATGCTCTGTATCACATCCACAACGGGGAAGATATTATTCTGCTGACCACTTGTAAACATGGCAAAGACTGGGAGAAACACAAGGACTTTCGCTGTGACAGAGATAATGAAGAATACTCAAAGTAAGACATATCTTTTGATCTCTTTACCTTGATTCATCTTATTCTGGCTGTGCTTTTATTTCCATTTGAAAAGAGCATTGCTGCTTTGAAGAGCTATCAATTAAGGATTAATTAGTATCTCAATAAAGAACATATACACAGTTAAAGCAGAGGTAATTGTTACAGGTTTATCTTCCTGCAAAGAAAGCTTGTGTTTCAGCAGACATTAGCACCGTGGCAGTTATCTCGTTATGGGCTCTTATTTGCTGTTAGTTATTTCAAATGTATGTGTTTGAGCTTCATTACAGCTCCTCACAAATGTTTGTTGTTTTGTGTGCAGTGATGTGCTTGTTACTGCTGTCGATCATCACAAGTGTGGTTTATTGGCTGAAAACTCTCCTGCTTGGAGAGTGTTGGGGACTAGCTGCAGAGACACAAAGCTGCTCTCTTTTATTTGAATGTAACAGGTTGGATGCTTTCATGTACATATTTCTTAGTTGTCATGGGAGTTGAGCTTCATTGTTGCTGTGCTCCTGAGACAAAATGCTACGAAAATGCAAGAGTGTGTGTATGAGAGAGTGTGTGTGAGAGTGAGAGGGAGAGAGAGAGAGCAGTGAGGCATTGGCTGTTGAGAGAAGGAAAGTTTTGTCAGCTCAGCAGTTGGTCGAGGGAAAGTGATCTGAGCTGAGAAGAGAAATCCACCTTTTGAAAATAAATTTTAGCAAGAGCTGGCAGTTGAAAGAAAAGGAACCATTGCATGTGGAGTGAAATAGGAACAACATTCTCAACTTCTGTTGCTTTTTCCTGGGTATGTTAGCCCAAGAGTCATGTGTTGCATATTTTAAGTTCAGATATTGCAGAGAAACCCAAAGGAAAACAACCCTGGATTCAGCTAAGAGCTGCCAAACTCAAATTTTACAGTGAGCATCTACCTACAGTTTAGTCTGCAAATGGACACATTCTTCATTGTTCTGGCTCCATTCTAGCGCATTATATGTTAAGTTAAGCAATGACTGAGGTTAAACTGCTGATTTTCAGCTTTACCGGTGCTTGAGGGTGTTTACTTCCATATCGGCTGCACAGGGTAGTACTTGTAGTCCCCCAATTTTAGGCCAATGCAGTGGGACATTGATCCTAAACATGCAGACAAGGCAACAAATTGGGGGTTTAGGGCAAAACAGTTGAATGTTGACTTGACTAAACTGAATCTGACTATGTTTCACTTGATAACACAGACTGAAGGCAGAGAGTTCCTGAAACAAGCAAGAAGTGAAGCTACAGTATCACTGGGAAAGATTTTCCGAAGTTTCTAAAGGTTTGAGACTTCAGACACTGGGTTTCTCCCATGAAATTGGTTAACATAACAGATGGCACAAGACTGGCTCTGAGCTCTTCTTTAAACTAACTCTTCAATCAACAGTAAATTATGAGTCCGGCTGATCGATACCTCACTTAAACTCACTTTAACTTAACCCTGTCCTACTTTGTACTGCAACTGCTGCCCAGCAATCTCCCTCTGGATAAATAAAGTTCTATCTTATCTTTAAAAAAAACATTTTCTATGTTTATTTTAATTTCATAAATACATTTGTATTAATACATTTCTTAAAAGTAACAGGACTGCTGTACACACTGGTCACTGAAATAGTGTTGCATAATAGTGTAGGTCTATACCGATACTAGACATGGTACCACAATACCCTGCCGTTAAAAACGATACAGTACTGCCTTTTATTGGTATCGATACTTTGAAGCAGTGGTTCCCAACCTGGGGTCCGCGTCCCCCTTAGGGGGGCGCCAGAGATCACAGGGGGTGCCCAAAGCTTTATCTGTTTTGAGGTTGTCAAAAACACTTTGGTTTGCACATTTTTAAAAAATCGTGATAACACGCTAGATAATTTATACAAAAGTCCGTATACATTTTTTCCTCACTGAAAATAGGCAGACTACTTGGTAGTAGGGTGTAATGGTTTTGAGACAAAATGGCGACACAAAAGTCCACGATCTGGTGTCGCAGATCTGAGAGACAGAACCGCAACACACCCGCTCATTGGACTGTTGAGCTCTCATTAAGAAAGTGCAACTGTGCCGGTGGCGGCCGGTGGAGGGTGGGCTCGATAGCGGTGTATATATAGTAGGCTATTTGTATTAACAGTAGGTTATTGTAGGTCACCTTAGATTAGTTTTTATTTACTTGAATCTGCTCCTCTGCTCTTCTCCCCACACTCACACACACCTAGCCTGCACCTCTGGTCTCTCACGGAAAACACAGCGGCTGGCTCCGCCTCTTTCTGTCTCTCTCTCCCTGTATGTGTCTCTGCTGATTTCCTCCATCAGCAGTACGTTTCATAAAGTCGCCGTGTTTAATAAACTCACCCGTGATTGAGTTTTCAAGTGATCTGCATGTGGATCGAAAATGAAACTTAATGTTAGTGAGTGACATCTGCAGTGGTGCGTTCACTGTCGCCCCGTAATGTAACATTTCCTGTGTGTCTGTTGACATAATACCAGATGACCTCTTCCTCACCATTTCTCTGCAAAATGCTAAAGTGGGTTGCCAAATATACTTTGGCAGGTTATAAAAGAGGTACTGGCTTCTGATCCCCAAGCTTGAGACCTCTATAAATGAATGAATTATTTGATGTGTCTTTGTGGCTGTACACAAAGCTCCACAGTTTGTCCGGTTAGAACAATTAAGATGATGTTGGTAATCTTCCCAATCCAATGACACTCTCACACTCCTTTTCTTGCAACTTGTTTATTGTAGAAGGAAATCTAGTATAAGTTTATGTGTATGTGTGTGTGTGTGTGTGTGTGCTAACTGTGTGTGGCAACTGTAAAGAGAATAAACAAATATGACATTTTAGACATCTGAAATAATAATGAATAAAAGCAATATAATAAGAGATAAGTGCGAATAATGACATGAGGACGAAATGAACAAAGATGGATAACTTCTGAAGAGAAAGCAGGAACTAAATAAGGGAGCTTCAAAATATATTGATTATAAACATGAAAACAAACAGCAATATATAATATATGCTACGAAGTGAGACAGGGTGATAAAACACATGGCAACATCACACGTGATAAATAAAACAAACTAGATACTGTACTCACTTCTCAAGGACACACACGGAATATGGAAAGGAAAAAAACGCAGTCAGGAATATGAATGAAGCATTATGCAGAAGTCCAGCAAAACTCCTCTGAACTAGAGACAAAAGATGTGACAACAGTGTCCTCCTGAACGGTTGCAACTGAAAGCGGGGAGACTGAAAACTGTCTCTTCGATTGAGGCACTTAATTGCTGACATGTCATTGGTCCAGGGTGACATGAGGGCCGCATGCACGGCGCCACAGGCTGCGCATGCATGTTAGGTGGTGCAGTCTATGGGCCGAGTGAGAGACCTTCTGAACACAGGTGCAACTATACCTGTCCGTCCCGCCCAAGTAAAGCATATGTTGAAAACACTTAAGTTAGTGCAAGCTGTAGGCCTGTATTTTGTAAATATTACACCTTATAAACCCCTTTTTCTTGGTATTGTTTAATACCAAGAAACAAAACACCAGGAGACTGTTGGTGAAGGCCAACCAAAAGCTGGCATTGATTTACACAGAGCCATGGAGGTGTCATTTGACGCCATTTGTTTGCTATTAGTAAGTAATTACATCATCTTTTTCTGTGTGTGTTTTGTCAGCTGTTGGGGGGGCTCAGCTTTTCTTAGATAAAAGTAGGGGGGGCGCCAAGGAAAAAAGGTTGGGAACCACTGCTTTGAAGCATGTGTGCAGCGCCGCTCTGCTTCCCTCCCTGCAGGGAAAGTGGGCGTGTCTTACGCTGCAGCTCTTCCACAGCTTGTCAGCAACGCAGACGCACATAGCAAACTTTGGAATAATGTCGTTTATGTAGCCGACAGTAAGAGCAAACCCATGGACCCCAGTAAAACAGTCCCTCCATGATTTCGCAAGATTTTTTGTGATTGCCATTCATCTTTTCATAACGAATGACAGTTAGAGTTAACCTCTCGTAGGTTGTAGCTAAAGCAAGAAGCAAGCTAACGCTAGTTGGGCTATGCTGAGCTAAACATGTTCTCTAACCTCAGGTTACTAACCTATTTTGCATTCAGCGCTTCTTTGTTTGGGCCTTGTTGTACAAAGTTTTACAGCCAAAGTTTATGATGAATGGCACAGCAGCTGCCGGTGTTTGTTGTCTTCTCTCAAGTGTGGCCGTACGCAAGGGAGGTTAACGGAGGGAGGGGAACAGCAAGCTCATCAGACGTTTCCTAAAAATAAACAGTGTTCCCGAGTACCGCACCTTGAGTCCGTGTCATATCTGAAGTCTTTTGAGGACTAGTCTCAAGTCAAGTCTGAAGTCACTGTGTGTGCGACTTAAGTCGGTCCAAATCTCAAACTGGAGTCCCCATCTCTGTAGTCTGGTCATGGTGATGAAGCTCAAACCCAATATTATTACTAATAATCCTAGATTTGAGCTTCATCATCTAACTATTTATTAGCCTGCTCACTACAGTAGTGCACTAAAGTATGTAGATTGAACACACATTACACAATGCACCTTGTTGGCAGAGGTCTTGGCTATACTGAGAGCATTTTCTAGTTTTTTCAAATTAGATTTTAAAATGTCAATTAATGAGAACAGGTTCTGTTGTAAAGTTGTTTACAAACTACTGTAGATAGGATATTAAATTATTATTTTAAATTAAAAAACTATTAAGTTCCATGTTCTGTCATTTATTATTCCATTACTTTTCCTTGTTTTAGTATCGGTATCGAGATATTTTGGCAGGTACTGTATCAAAGTCATAATTTTTGTTTTATTTCTATTTGCTCTGAAGGCTACTACCAATACTTTATCAGTTGCAGCTCAAATGCTGAGAGTAACATCTCCACAAGGCAGAATTGATTCTGTATGATGCAACTTTTGAGAAGAAAATAACGATAACAAATAGAGAATTGTATATGTGATCCTGTGTGCTCTGCTTTTCGGGGGCGTTGTTGCTATT